TCAGTGAGATCTTTGTTCTCATCAAAATTTTGAGTAGGTTACTGTTTAGAAATAGATATTCTTTTTTACCTAAAGCTGGTCATACATTATATAATTTTCTTATTCAATTTTCTTTAGATTTACCTTTAGCTATGTAGTGCAAGTAGGATCGGCGCTACCACTAGGTGAACTAGGCATAGCCATGGCCATGACTCACGGACAACTCTGACATGACGGTTAAAATGAAAATTATTCTGCCGCCTGTTTGCTGACTGGTCAGTGCTGAGTGAGGGGGTGTGGGAGTACATGGAAAAGTAAAGGACCTCTCACAAGAACCACACATCCTGGAGTGTGAAGAGCAAATACTGCGGAATCAAGCGGAGCAAAGAGGAGCAGGGAGGACTGTCACTGAGTCACAGAGCCAAGTGGAGAGAGCCCAGCCAGAGGAGAGAGATCTGGAGTGAGTGTGGTTGAAACCAGAGCCAGCCTGAGTCTAAGCAGTCTCCCGGAGCAGTCATTGGAGCCCAGCAGAGCCAGCCTGAGTGGGCAACCAACCCAGCCAGAGCCAGAGGACTCAAGTAATTAATTTGCTGACCTGACACTGTCATCTACCATGTCATCTCCATCCTGCACACAGTCATCTCCATGTGATCTCCATCCTGCACATACAGTTATCTCCATCCTGTACACAGTCATCTCCATCCTGTACACCACTTTCTGCAAGATGATGTAAGTCATCTTAGACTCTATCTATCTACATTCCCTTTAAGCCACACCCCATATTTAGTTTAATTGAAACCACGCCTATTTTTCTTTTGTTATGCAGGTGCGGAGCATTTTATGTAGGGAAAACCATCAGAAAATTGAAACAGAGACTTGCTGATCATGTATACTACTTAGCTAAGGGTAAAATGACCACTCCAGTCAGTAGACATTTGGATTTATATAATAAAGTTGACATCTCATTTCTTTCTTTTATTGTATTTTGAAGTGATCCCTGAAGATCCTAGGGGAGGGGACTGGGACAAGAGAATATTGCAGAAAGGAACATGTTGGATTAAAGGGCTCAATGCCATCTACACACCTGGTATATATATTTTTTATAATTAAACCCTTCATATCCTTATGTAACCATAGTGCTGTAAGGTGAATTACAACATCGGGGGTGTTTCCCCCCTAGTTTTCTCTTCTCCCTTTTTTCCCCTTTCCCTAATTTCTGTTTCCGTTACTTCTTACTTTACTGTGAGTTGACAGAGAGGATTCTAGCTGAGGGTCTTTCATTAAATTGTATAGTTCATGAACACTATGTTTATAATTGTCATGTAACCAGGTTAACTGTGACAGTTTTGCTTGTGCGCAGTTGATTGGCCAGGCTGCATGACATCACATGGCGCTCCTGGCTGGTGTGTTTGCGCAGCCGGGACCGGCTATATAAGGGGCAGGGATTGGTAATAGCTTGTAGCTGGCTCGGCTCAGGATAACGTGTGGAGGTTGATCAATATACTGTATATCATGAAGGCAAATATTAGGATATTTAATGGTTATTCCTGTTGTGGCAAAGGTTGTTAAAGGGAGCAAATGGCCCCTGGACTTACAGTTCGGCAACATCGTCCACTTGTTGCAGGCTTTTTGAGCTCCTCTGGACATTTGCCGATGTCATCCAATTTTTTGTCTGTGAGGAAGTAGTCAACACTGGCTAGTGCTATACCTAACTAGCTACCATCTTATCCCTAGGAACCCCTGATGTTTTGGCTGAGTTCAGAATTATTATTATAGGAAGATATAGAGTTAGTTACTGATTAAATAAGGAAACAATCACTAATTATGATTGTCCTCTTTCATTTTAATGGGCTTTCACTGATAAACCAGGCAGCTTTTTTTTGTCTTCCATCTACCTTTTAACATGGGACATAAGCTATTTGAAAGTCATACTTGACTGTTGGAAAATTATATAGAAGACTTTATGGATGTTTATAGAAGGTGCTAGCAATCAAGTCATTATCTATCACATATGATGGTATTTCACCTTAGATATTGAATTTTTTCCAATATTGAATCATATAGGTATCATATTGTGTGAATACGTTTCTAGATAATTTCTTGCCTCATTGTATTGGACCCTATACCTGTTTGGGTGTCCATCAATCCACTGATCCAATTTGTTTTTTGTTATCCATCACCATGGCATTTACTGTATATGTAAGTTACTGTAATTGAACACTTTCTATAATACAAGTATAATGTATGTATATGCGATTACTAATGGTTTCTTTGCTTTTGCTAATGTAGAATATCAGTTCAAGCTCCTGAAGAAGTGATCATCATCACGAAACATGTTGTGCTCATTATCCAACCTCCTTTCCTACACTGTAAGAAACCTACGATTCAAGTTATCCTTTAAATCAAGGGTTTCGCTTCCTACATGTATCCTATCACCCGCTGGGCCTGACCGTCTGTCTTTGCATAAGCATTTTTTATATGTTTTACAATATATTTTAACCAATGTTTGTATAATAACCGATCATTTGTATTTTAAACTGGAGTCTATGGGGCCCATAAAGTCCATATACTGTAATCCTACTTTGTGTATAGGAACAATTCTTGTTAGGCAGGTCGTGGCACAGGTGTATTTAACACACCCATAGTGACTGCCCCTTGTTTTTGGTGTGCCCATTTAGTGAAGATAGGCTACCAGGACTGGCCTTACATAATTTTTGGGGGTGCCAATAAGCATGATTTCAGTCTTGTCATAGTTTAATTGAAGTAAATTGTGTGCCATCCAAGTTTTTACATCACAAGTACAGTTAGATAGGAGAGAAGCAGCCAAAGTAGAATCAGGTTTAGTGTGGATGCATAGAACTGATAATTGAGCCCATGTGATCTAAGCAGTTGGCCAAGTGGAAACATATAAATTCTAATAAGTAAGGGACTCAGGATTGAGCCCTGAGGAACACCATATTTGACTGGACCAACATCAGTCTGGAACTGCCAAATGAAACAAAGTGACAGCGATCAGTGAGAAATGCCTTAATCGAGTTCAGAGCCAATTCTGAGACTCCAAATATGGTTTCAAGGCTTGTGGTCTACAGTATCAAAGGCAGAACTAAGATCCAGTAGAATTATATTTATTTCAGGTACTTATATAGCACCATTGATTTATGCATCGCTTTACATATATATTGTACATTCACATCAGTCCCTAACCCTCAAGGGGTGTACAATCTAAGGTCTCTAACTTACATTCATACATACACATACTAGGGCCAATTTAGACAGGAGCCAATTCACCTACCAGCATGTCTTTGGAGTGTGGGAGGAAACCACAGTACCCAGAAGAAACTGACGCAGGCACATGGAGAACATGCAAACTGCAGGCAAGTGGTACCATGGCTGGGATTTGAACCAACAACCCTAGTACTGCCAGGTGGAAGTGCTAATCATTTAGCCACTGTGCTGCCACGTAGAATGAGAAAAAAACAGTAAAACTGGGTCAGGTCAGGAACTGATGTGGAAGAAACATATGATGTAGTAAGAATTTGATGCCTTATTTTGTAAATTTTTGAGGGGAAATAAATCTGAGATTGTGTTACAGAGCTGTGCTGAATCTGGTAATGTGGAGGAACAGCAAGGTTTTAAGAATCTGTCAGTGGTGCAGAAAAGCTGTCTAGGGTTGCTAAGATTTTTTTCAATGGCATGGGAGAAATAGTATGATCTATCAGTCTCAATTTGACCCTTATAGACACACAAATGTTCCTTCCAACTCTGATCATTAACAGACAGGCCATAATGCTGCTATCTGCTCTGCAAGACAACCTTCATTAAACGTAGGTGAGAACTATACCACCAGGGATAGCCGGGTGGGAGAATGAGAGGGTCCAAGTTTTTAATGGGGCAAATGTCTCAAGGGAAGATGAAAGCGCATGATTATGGGCATCTATTTTGTCAACAAGAGTAGGATATGCAGGATAGGGAGGAAGTAACAGAATTTGCAAATTTGGGAAGATCAATAGAAGCACAGATGTGATAATTTACAGATTGAGACACAGAGGTGTTAGAAACTGCTAATTCCAGATTAAAAAGAATAGCTAGCTGGTCAGTCAATCCTAAATCAAGGGAAGAGCAGTCAGAAGCAAAAGAGCCATTAGCAATGATAAGGTCAAGGGTGTGTCCTTTGATATGCATGGGGTTGCAACAAATTGAGTTAGGTCAGAGCATTCCAGTAGAGCCAAGAAGCCTTTAGCTAAATGGAAGACTCTGAGTCAGTGTGTATATTAAAATCCCCAAGTTTAATGATTCTCCTAAAACAAAGACATACAAATGAAAGCAAATCAGCAAATTCATCAAAGAAATCTCTACAAGACTTGAGTGGTTGATAAACAATAGCAATAACAGATGAGTGGGAAACACAGACCTTCAATGGAAAACAAGACATTCAAAGGAAGAGAAAGAGGGTATGTTAACAGGGGATAAAGTGTACAGCAAGCTGTAAATAACAATTATACCTCCACCTTTGCCGGAGAGATGCAGGAGGTCAAACAATCTGTACCCTGGAGGAGTGGGTCGGTTGAAAAGGACACCTTCATTTTGTTTGTGCCAGATTTCAGTTAAGCACAGAAAGTCCAACTTCTTACCTACAATAAAGTCCGAAGGAAGTAGTGCCTTGTTATTAGCAGAGCAAGTGTTCAGGAGTGCTGATCTGGCCTTCCATGGAGGATCCATGGGAATCAGAGTGGAGTAAGGGCATGTCAATGAAAGTACCGTATTTTTCGCTCCATAAGACGCACCTGACCATAAGACGCACCTAGGTTTTAGAGGCAGAAAACAGGAAAAAAAAATTCTGAACTAATGGACTGCAGACATAGTACAGGAGATGACCAGAGACTGCAGACAGTACAGGAGATGACCAGAGACTGCGGACACAGTTCAGGGGATGACCAGAGACTGCGGACATAGTACAGTACAGGAGATGACCATGAGACTGCGGACACAGTACAGGAGATGACCAGAGACTGCGGACACAGTACAGGAGATGACCAGAGACTGCAGACATAGTACAGGAGATGACCAGATGACTGCGGACACAGTTCAGGTACAGGGGGATGACCAGAGACTGCAGACACAGTACAGGAGATGACCAGAGACTGCGGACACAGTACAGGAGATGACCAGAGACTGCGGCGGACAGGAGATGACCACGGTACACGGTGGAGATGACCAGAGACTGCGGACACAGGAGATGACCAGAGTACACGGGAGATGACCAGAGACTGCGGACACGGTACAGGAGATGACCAGAGACTGCGGACACGGTACAGGAGGACACGGTGACAGGAGATGACCAGAGACTGCGGACACGGTGCAGGGATGACCAGAGACTGCGGACACGGTGCAGGAGATGACCAGAGACTGCGGACACGGTGCAGGAGATGACCAGAGACTGCGGACACGGTACAGGAGATGACCAGAGACTGCGGACACACGGTGCAAGTACAGATGACCAGAGACTGCGGACACGGTACAGGGGATGACCAGAGACTGCGGACACGGTACAGGGGATGACCAGAGACTGCGGACACGGTACACGGGGGATGACCAGAGACTGCGGACACGGTACAGGAGGAGATGACCAGAGACTGCGGACACGGTACAGGAGAGACCAGAGATGCGGACACGGTACAGGGGATGACCAGAGACTGCGGACAGCACGGATGACAGACTGCGGACACGGTGCAGGACCAGAGACTGCGGACACGGTACAGGGATACCAGAGGAGATGACAGGAGATGACCAGAGACTGCGGACACGGTACAGGAGATGACCAGAGACTGCGGACACGGTACAGGAGATGACGGACTGCGGACACGGTACAGGAGATGACCAGAGACTGTGGATAGTACAGGAGATGACTGCTGACCTTTGGGGAGGGGGTGCAGCGGGTACCTGAATTTGACAGGTACCCGCTCCCACTTCCGCGGAGTTGTTCTTTCATCTTACCTGTTCCTCTATCCAGCCGCGCGCTGTCTTCCCGGCTTCTGTAATGGCGCTCGGCATGACAGCCGGGTGCCCAGTGCGCATGAGCGAGAAGCACTTGCACTTTGTGATTGGTCCGGCGGCTTCTGGGATCTGTCATGTGTCCCAGGTGCCGCCTTACCATTCACTAAAAGCACCGGTTCCTGCGCATGCGCACTTGGCACCCGGCTGTCATGCCCAGTGCCAACACTACAGAAGCCGGGAAGACCGCGCCGCTGGATAGAGGAACGGGTAAGATGAAAGAACAACTCCGCGGAAGTGGGAGCGGGTACCTGTCAAATTCAGGTACCCGCTCCGGGGGGGAGCTCCCCAAAGGTCAGCAGTCATCTCTATAAGGTCCCGCTGTAGAGCTGAGCGGCCGGCCCGGTATTCTGACACGGCGGCGGTGGAAATACCGGACCGGCCGCTTCATATTCGCTCCATAAGACAAACTGACATTTTCCCCCCTTTTTTGGGGGGAAAAAAGTGCGTCTTTTGGTGCGAAAAATACGGTAAGCATTTTGAGGTCAGCACCAGTGTGGAATGGTCTTGCAGCCTTACTCTGATAAGCAGGGATTGAGAGAGCACAGGTACAGTACTTGAAGGGAGGAGAAGGTGTCCAGTGCTTGTATCTCTTTGGTCGTAAAATCCCAATTATCCAGAAGAGATCATATGAGCCTTCAGCTGAGAAATAGTTCTGTTTTAGTTGCCGGAGTTGCAGTGCAGTGTACCTGTACAGCATAACTGAGAGATCTGGGTACAGTAGGGGAGAAAAAAAAAGCCAGTTGTTCATGTTCACAGTACAAGGAAATAGGTACAGTGCAGGGCAAGGAAAGAGGTCCAGTGATCCGGGGAAGATTTGGAGGTCAGTCAGCAGCAAGCTGGGGAAGATTGTGAAACAGGGAGCATTCACTTGTAGAGAAATAATCCCAGAGAACAAAGAGGTCAGAGAACTCAATCCAGGGAATCTAAAAATCAGAACTCAATCCAGTGAATCTAAAAATATGATAAATCAATTCTCATGTTCATAAAATGGAAAAAGTTTAAAGGGAAAAATTGTAAATTTGTAAAATTGTAACTAGTGTGAGGAGCGGCAGCCAAATGTGCCAGCGTTCCCTTCACAGCCAGGTGGAGAGCTAGGAGAGGTCCTTCCACCTCAGCAGTCAGACACTGTTAGTACTGAATGCCAAACCAGTAGAGCAAAACAGTTCTTGGGTTTCTGCACAAAATCAGGCACAGGGCAAAAGAGCAAGATGCAGCATGGTGTATGGCGGAAAGAACACAGACACAGGCAGAGTGAGTTGAACTGGATATATTGAAAATGTTCCAACAATGTACAATAAGGCATGACAGGTGAACACAGCTGTCTTTTGACACTTGCAAGACTTACAGCAGAAATTCCACAGCTTGAGCGAAGCTGACAGCATCTACAGAAAGGGGTGGCAAGGCAGCCTGGCTGATCCAAACCAATAGAGGGGCTGCTCCAAAAAGGTAGACCTTGTCCCTGTGCTTTCCCTACTCTTCTGGAACCTTTCCCTTGTGCTCAGAACTCCCTCTGACAGATGGGGAACCTGTCTGTATTCTAGCCACTTTGAAAATGAGCGCCAAATCAGGGGGCCAGAGGCTTTAATACACTGTTTCCTAACCCAAGATGGCCATGGAGGTCATGAGGGGGCCAGCGTCCAATCAAAGATCTGCTCCCAGATGAACAAGGAAATCATAGAGGAACTACATTCCTCAGGACTTTCTCTTCTGTATTGCTGCTTTGGTTAAGCGCCACCTACAGAGGAGGGTTTAGACTGCAGCTGCCGTCATGCACATAAAGTAGCAGTTTCTATAGCTGTTGGAGGCCTATCTGAACATGTAGTACTAGGTTGGTTACATTCTCATGTCTCCCTGTGTCACCGTCATAGTTTCCTCTAGACGTGCGTGTTCAGTCACCTGGTCACTGACTGTCAGGAGCCGCCGCGGCGTTGGGCTCAGCGCAGGCGCAGTGTGCCGACTCGCACTGGTGTGCGGGCACTAGGTCCTGGCCGGCCGCGGCAATGGAGTTCGTGCATGCGCACTCGGGACCGCGGGTGCGCGCCTGGCACCAATGACAGCGCAGGGCGCGGTATTTAAATCCTCCCTGTGCTGTCATTGGTTGCCGTATGGTCTTTCCTGTATTCTGTTCCTGATCCTGTGCTATTGTTGATTACTGCTGACCCGGATTGCTCTGACCTTGCTTATTTCTCCTGCCCTGACCCCTGGCTTGCCTGACCTCGCTCCTGGATGCCCCCTTGTGGATCTGATCTCTTGTTGCTGACCTGGCATGTGACCCGACCATTCTCTGCCCGCTGCTTTGTACCGCACCGATCCCACGGCTACCGACTCAGCTCGTCTGACCACGCACTTGCTCATCCATCCATCCGTCCACCTCGTTGGGGTATCCCTGCCTCTTCACATCAGGCTCTCACCCTGCAGGAACCTCTGGCTAGCTGCTCTACCACTGGTGGGTGTACTCAGGAGCCGCGACCTGGTCTCTGTGCACTCCAAGTCCATCCCCACCATCAGGGGCCCTGGTGAACAAGTGAACCGGGTCTTAGACTCCGCGCTCTGGGGAAACCTGACCAGTGGATTGCTAGGGGTGCTGTCAGGCGGTTTGTTACACTGACAGACAAACTTGACATTACAAATTTGCAGTTAGAAATAGAACATTTTTGCAAGTGTAATTTCCTGCTTTTGGCAGCCTGTAATTTCTTTTGTGAACCAGTTTGTGTTTTCTTTTTTTATGTACCTCTTCACTTTCTTACTTCTTTAAGAAGACATGTGAGTGTTACTTATTCGTAGCACATAATATGCTATTAATTAAAAATGCCCATTCAAAATATAAGTATACAAGTGTAGTAGAAATTTATGTAAATGTTGGTACCTACCTCAACCTAAGCAACAGCGCTCTAAGATGGTGAAGGACTTTTCTTTATATTTTGTTCTGCTTCATGCCTGTTGACAGGGTGACGGCAGTTGAGTTTTGTCAATCATCTTTGTAGGAAAAAAAACAAAAAAAATTTCACATACTTAAGAATGTGGATACCCATTGCCATGCCACGTGTCTCCTCCTTCCTGGATGCCCAGCCCATACAGCCAGCCTTCTCCAGCAAATTCAACACTACTCTAGCCTATTCAAGTGGGCAGGTGTATATTTGTGGAATAAACTTGATTTCGTTTTTCTTCTTTGCTGTAATTTTTTGCAAGTAATATGATAGATGGACCATCACACTATAGACTTGGAAAGGTGCACCAAGAGAGAAAGAGCATTTTTATTGTTTTTTTTTTTTATTTTCAAACAGTAATGAGGTTGTCACCAAGAATGAAAGTGAGAGTAAATCCTGATTTTGTATTGGTCACCAGGAATGGAATTAGAGGTGAAATCTACTAATGGAGACACTTGTTCTGGTGACAACTGTTTAAAAGGGATTTCCCTTATGCTCATTAATCAAGGCTGATTTTGGGTCCTGTGACACTATTATTGGCTTTCTGTGCTTCTCGATGCCATACAGAAAAACCATGGTTGTTTTTTCTGTAAGCACGGTGGTATACATAGCTCCCAGAAAACATCACACCACCCTGGCTATGTTCAATTATTATTTGCAAAAGAGAAGTAAGACATCTGTACATTCAGTAAAAAGCAATGTTGAAAAACTCCATATTGCTGGGGCTTAACCACTTGCCCTCCTGAGGATTTAACCCCCTTAATGACCAGGCCTCTTTTTGCTACTCGGTGCTGCACTAATTCAACTGATAATTGCGCGGTCATGCAATGCTGCACCCAAACGAAATTTATGTCCTTTTTTTCACACAAATAGAGCTTTCTTTCTGTGGTATTTGATCACCTGTGCGCTTTTTATTTTTCACGCTATAAACAAAAAAAAAAAAATTTTTGAAGAAAAACAATATTTTTTACTTTCAGGTATAAAAAATATATAGTAAACTCAAAGTTAGTTATAAATTTAGGCCAAAATGTATTCTGCTCCATGTTTTTGGTAAAAAAAAATCCCAATAAGTGTATATTGATTGCTTTGTGTGAAAGTTATAGGGTCTACAAACTAAAGCTGGAGAGTCCAAAATCAGACTCCCTTCTGCATAGAAGCCAATAGCTTCCAGGTTTCATTGCCAAAGCTTATTGAACAAGCTGAGGTTAGAAGCTGATTGGTTTCTATGCAGAAGGGAGTCTGATTTTGGACTCTCCAGCTTTAGTAAATAAACATAGTGTCTACAAATTGGTATAGATACTGCAATTTACGCCTTTTTTTTGCTATACAGCGCTGCGCTAGTTTAACGGACAATTGCGCGGTCATGCAATATGGTACATAAATTAAATTTACATCCTTTTTTTTTCCCACAAATTGAGCTTTCTTTCGGTGGTATTTGATCGCCTGTGCGGTTTTTTATTTTTTGCGCTATAAAAAAAAAATGCTGACAATTCTGAGGAAAAAAAAACAATATTTTGGACTTTTTGCTATAAAATATGTCCAGTAAAAAAAAATTAAAAATCAAATTTAGTCATAAATTTCTGCCAAAATGTATTCTGCGACATCTCTTTGCTAAAAAAAAAACCCAATATGTGTA